ATGTAATACCCCTGTCACACGGCCACCACCAAACTCCTTTGAACACCGTCAAAGTAAATCTCCCCTAGGGGGTTCAACGAAGGAGTTGTGGCAGTGTCACACAGCAATGACAAGGTTGTAACAGTTGCCGCGAGGGGGCTCAGGTGGCGCTGTTTGATTTTCGGAAAAGTATTTTAATTTTATCTCTATTGATTTTTTTGTGAATCCTCGTTATGCGGTTTTTATGAAAAAACACTATTAAGTAGGTATGCGACTAAAAAAACCATTAAAAATAATTTCAAATAAAAACGCATTTGCTAAATGTAGCGATGCTGCTAGTGACGCTGCCCACATAGTGCTTTTAGTTGTTTTGTTGCCTGTTATGCTTCCTTGCCTCGTGAGCGCACATTTTGTGTTCTTCAGCCATGAGTGACACAGCGGACGTCGTGAGGAAGTGGTACAGTATTGCGCTGGTAATGACGTTGATCGGGTGGCGCCGGCCGGCCCAACTCGTGAGGCACGGTGTGCAGGGCATCGGTGTTGAGAGTAAGTGAACTCTGGCGGGCGTAAATAAATGTAAATAAACACGCGTTGTGAATGAGTACTACAACGAAAGAACGTTTAATATTGCCAAAATGTAATATTCTTTCACTGCGGCCACTTAGTGCTCGAAATGTTTCTCTGACCTCTAGACTGCTGGGGACGAGAGTACCTCATTTCGCTGCGAAAGGAGATAGTTGAACGTCCTTTGCAAAATGCTCCGTTTACCTTCGTTTGCGTAAGGGTGGCCGTGTGACACTGACCGCATCTTCGTTGTCGTAAGGGCGAGGGAGTTAAACGGTCTTCGCTGGTGTCCGTGTGACAGGGGTATTACCTAGTCTTTGTGTTTCTTGATCACTTAACATCTCAAGATTACAATATCATTGTAAGGGATGGCGTAGTGGTGGGCTCCTGAAATTTCGACCATATGGTGTTTTTTAATGTGCACTGATGTCGCACAGTACACGGGCCTCTACCACTTTGCTGAAGGAGTCCACGCAGCCTGTGAACGAGGCAGCTACTGTGAAGTATTAACCGCAAATATAAGCTGCATACTTTATTTGAAACTGAAGCTCTCGTGGCAAATTGGCTCTTTAGCGCAACTTTCGCAGATGAGCCAGCGAAAAAATCCAGTCCCGACTGGGCTTGATCGCTATCGAAGTGTGTCGTGACACATGCATAACTTCGTCATGTGTTTGCGGGGGTTGATTTCTGCGAATGGGCTCTGCTGCATACTTGGTCTGCCTGAGAATTTTAAGCGATGTGTGCTAGTCGTTTTTTCAACACTTAACACAAACTATAATGGGTAATGTAAGCAGATCTCACTGTATGACTCATGCGGCTCCATCAAAATTCTGCAGTTACGTATTTTCACAAAATATACCAGACTTTTGAAGTCTTCCCCGCTAGTGAGAAAAGAAAATTGAACCTCACAGGAGGCCACTGAGGCAATGAACAACACTAATGCCTGTGGCGCTGAACTTGATCAGAGCCGCAGCTTCCGTCAATCACCGGGTGCCTGCTATAGTTTGCGCAAATAGAACACCACATAACATGCTTTCAGACATTCCTGCTCATGCGTTAAACTTTCACGATTACCTAAACTAGTTGTTCTCGTCGTTGCCTTTTCAAGCAGTTCAATATTTGCGCAGATAGCAGCTGCATGCCCAGCGTTCGCTCGCGCTTCTTCATCTGCAATGAAGAGCTTGTTTTTGCAGTAGCGCCACCTGGACCGGAAGCAAGTTTTGCACCGCTTTCAATGTATGGTGGATGGGGAGATTTCGGCAACTGAAAAGGTTCTATAAGCGTTGGTTATGGTGACGTCATGCCGTCATTTTTTCTTGTTGACGTTTGCTCGCACAGACTATTACTCGACAGCTGCTGGCGATTTCGTGGCTGTAGCGCTCGAGCTGAAAGTTTAGTCTTTGATGACATTGCTGTCCCGTTTCCCGTTTTTAAAAACCATCTTGATGCGAACCACGCGGAAGTGCTTTACAGTTTTGTGTGCTGACATGGTCAAGCGTTGTACTTGCTAGGTGGTGTTAGGTGGCTTGTCGTTTTTAAAACCGAAACTTGCATTAGTCAATAATAACGAGCCTATAGTTAAAAGGATGTGTCGTGTTATGACTAACAGGCCTCGAGAAACACATTGCAAAAAAAAAAAAAGGCGAGGCCAACATTTTTGTCAGTACCCCTTTAAGTAGTGTGTTCGGAATTGCATTCATTGGCTCTCGCAACCCTGTGAATGGCTAACACGAAACTATGTTTAGCTTCGCATGCACTGAAATCGCTGAGCAAAAGTACAACCAGAAACCTTCCTTCTTTTACTGGAAGAAAACTTGCTGCATACGAACATATTTCCTCCGGTCTTGTACTGCCCAGCTGGAACGTGGCCATAGAGAGTAGGGGCAGGGGAAAAATTTTCAGGCAAGTGCCCAGTGTACCACCCCTGGGCTACACCACAGATTGGGAGGCAAGTTATATAAAGAAGGAAAAAAAAACAATACTAATGCCTGTATGTAGCTAATTATGACAAGATCGTCCTGGACAGTCTTTCTGGGTAGCCTGCTACAAAAGCCACTTTTGCCCAGGGACTGTGCCGCAGTCATACCTCAAATGACGTTTGAGCAAAACCATGATTTAAGCTCATCACTGCAACTTGTTTGAATGAACCTAAAATGTTGCCTCTTTCATTTGTGAAACAAGGTGGATTATTTGAATGATAAAAGTCCATTACTTGAGCTTAGGGTAGCGGGCTCGTCAAGCTGTCTAAAAACAGCTTTTATTCACCACTTGTTAAATGGACACAATGTTGATTTATGATTAAATTGTGTTGTCGCATTGCTACAGAGACGAGCACCAGCACATTCCAAGACTTAATCCACGACAACTGTCGACCAACCACTTGTGATTAACTTTCAAATGATTTTCTCCCGAGGGCCTTAAATGGTAACTTGAATACACAAAAAAAATAGAGGTAGGGCTAACTGGCAATAACTTGGTATGAGTTCTTGTAGGATTCTTTTGCCTTGGTTTCCTTGAAAATTTGAAAGCCTTGCTATTTGAGCTTGTAAGCTAACTGGCAATAACTTGGTATGAGTTCTTGTAGGATTCTTTTGCCTTGGTTTCCTTGAAAATTTGAAAGCCTTGCTATTTGAGCTTGTAGTGTTACGTTGCAGAATCACAACTCTCTTGTGCCATGAATGAAAGAAAAAAGTGTACTGACACAATTGATTTTATTGAAGGCAGATTCACACCTTTATACATCAACAGGCCGTGCCTGGTGCACTGTCACAACAACTAATATAGAAAAATTCAAACAAGGCGCGAAAGAAAGAATTTTGATACTGCACAGTGCAAAACTCATGCATGTCAATTGGGTGAAACTCAGAGGAAGGCATTTACATTTATTCATAAGAAATATTGGAGCAATGACCCTCCTACTAACACAGTCACGGACTTCAACCTTGGCTATCAGAGCAAAAGGAGCTCGTCTGAAATTTCTCCACCAGATAATACACAAACAGCTAAAACTAGATGCTTCAAAATATACTACGTTTCATCAATCACGCATTGCCCGCTGTAATCGTTCATGCACATTAAAGGAGCTATTTTGCAGTAATGATACCCTTCGGTTTTCTTTTTTTCTGTGTTGTCCGTTAGTGGAATAGCCTAGATCCATCCATAACTATCACTGTATCGCAGTCAGCTTTTGCAAAGATGTTATGAGCAATTAGTAAACATCCTTTGTGTAATGATGTTTTTCAATTTGCATTATCTAAAGCAACTTCTTTGTTAGTTTAACTTCTACTTTTTTGAACCAAGCTTAATTCTTATTTTTTATGTGATTTTCTATTTTAGTTCATTGCACAGTTCTGTTGCATATTTATTCTATATTTCAGTGTTCTAGATTTTAGTTTCACGGTATTTCAGGTTGTATCTTTACAAAGCAAAAGTGCTGCATTTGTTGTATGCCCTTTTAATGAAACTTGGACTTATGGAAACGATACGCCTACCTGCTATGGTCTCAACATGAGACTGGCAGTATTGTAAATAAGTAAATAAATAAATGGAAGTGTTGCTCATGCATTCCTCACCTGCTTTTCTAATAAACAACGCATCTAGCCTTTCATGAGCCATTTTTTCTTGACTTCTGCCTAAGATTTTCACAAATCGGAATCGTGGTTCACAATGTGAGCACAACATGCAGTGGTCGACGAGGTGACTTTTTTACGTATCATTCAGATGTATTCAGATTTCTTTTGTGTTTTTGTTAGGAAAGCAGATGAGGAATGTGTGAGTGACACTTTCACTGTGCTGTGCAAAGCTGAAATTCAATTTCTTTTGTGCCTTGTTTGAATTTTTCTATATTGGTTGTTGTGACAATGTGCCTGTGCAGCGTGTATAAAGGTGCAGTGAATTTGCCATCAATAAAGTCAGTTGTTATATGTTCGTGCCTATGCTCATCTGTTCCTTCTCTTGTGTCCTGTCTAGTTGCACTACTGACGCTGGTTTCTATGTCAAAGCACCAACTTGCCCAACTGTCAACTTTTAAAAAAGTGTACATTTAAGGGCGCGTTTGCTTTGTTAGTGAGATCTAACAGACAATCATGCCAAGGAAAGCGTATAGGGAAGGCTATTAGAAGTAGTTCTAATGTAATTGTGAAGAAAGAAAAGTTGCCTTAGGCAGGGACCGAACCTGCAATCATTGAATAACGCGTCCAATGATCTACCAATTAAGCTACCACGGTCCCCTCTATCAAAGACAAGTAATCCAGCTCAACTAATCAGGAAGCAGAGCTTGTCATTTATTGCCTTTGACAGGTGCCAGTCTGTATGTTTTTGTGTGTGCTGTTATGCTGAGGACGAGAAATCGTGCATGTGTGTCTTGTGTGACATTCAAACAAAGCTGCATTGCCTGCTTAATTCGTTGGGCCCAGTGCACTGAACGCTTTTCAATTCTGCCGAACAAAACTGCGCAGGTTTTGGGACGACTGGATTCGGCAGCCCGAGCAGAGGAAGGACCGAGCCTGTATTAGACCCGAAGTCTCGCGTACCAAGACTTTTGGAAAAATTGGGGTTAGCAAGTAAGTTTTGTAGGAAGCAAATTGGATAGGAATGCAGCAAGGTTTTCTGAGCCTTGTTTTGTCTGTATGTATTGAGACAATCTTATTTACAGTGTAGCTGCAGTTCTTGTGGAGTAAATTTCTGAGCGCTGCAGAGTTCTCGGCTCGTTTGCTAGTTAGCACTCTCTCTCTTTTTAATTTCTTTTGGGGATATTCAAAATGCATGGCAACATCTGTCGACAATCCTGTAGGCTTGATACGCCATGTTTTGTGAGGCACGAAAATAAAAACCATAGTGATAGCTGCTGGCAATTCATCGTTGGTCTGTGATGAGCGTTTCATGTGCATTTTAGGCAGCAAGGGAGCCCTGACATTAGAGAGTTAGAGTATACCGGGCTTAGCGGGTTACCAGGTGTACCGTGATACCGGAATCGAAGTGCGCATGCGCAGATACGTACGTCACCCATACCCCTACCCGTACGCACGGTATTTTTTCAGGTTTCACGTTACCGTGGTAGTGTAGGCGTACGTAGTGTACGTAAACATGGCGGCGCTCTTGGACGCCCGCTTTGAAGTGACTTTGGCGTAGTTGTTGAAAGATTCACCTTAATCGCAGCAAACGGCTGTTCAAAGTTGCTTCGCTCTAAGTTGGCGTAGTTTTTGAGGTAGCTTCCCATTTCGAACGCGTCTAGGCCCAACGACAAGTTTGATGTAAACAAATCGGCAACATAGATGTTTTCGCATTTGGTGCGTGATTGATATTTACTTTTATTATCACTAAAATAAACTTCTAACAATTCTTCGAGCGGTGGCATAGGCAAATATTCTCGTTTTCTTTTCATTCTCACTGTTTATCACTAAAATAAACTTCTAACAATGCTTAGAGCGGTGGCATAGGCAAATATTCTTGTTTTCTTTTCATTTTCACTGTTTAACTGAATAACCATCTAACAGGTCGCGCCACCACCCCAGCTAGGGCACGTAAACCACGCAAACGCTATCCCGCTAAACTATAAGACGCTGCCCACAACGAACGTTTGTTGCACGGTAACGCCATTCCCTTAGCTTATGCTATCACACTAACGCTAAACTATAACTTTCTAATAAGAGGAACAGGGTAGCACTAAGGGCCTTTCTTGTTTCACATTCGATATTGATGAAAATTGGGACAGGCACTAAGAATGGCCTTGAAGTGCTTCCATACAGGCTTGAAGGGGATGCCAAGAAAGCTTGATGTGAGACAAATTATTTCTTCATTGAACCTCGTAGAGGGGCTGGAGGATTTATAAAATTACGTATATAATTGGTTATTATTGTACGCACAGCCAAATGAATGCTAAAGGGGGCTGCATTTCAAAATAATTTTGCAACTCTAAAACTTGACGTCAACGTTTTCTCCAGGGTCACTGCAATGAGCACACTTGCACTACAAGCAAGAAGCTCTACAAAAAAGTATTGGAGTAAAATGAAAAAATAAGATCGCAGCCCCCTGAAGCACAGTTCAAGCAGCGTTACACAACAAACCGAATTAAAATCTCTGAAGTGGTTGCCAATTTATCTGCTCCTTGAGCTGAACATAATGCCAAAAAACAGTATTGAGAAAACTGCGTTTAAGTGACAGTAGGTATCACACGAGAACAGAACGACGACAAAGGGACAAGGAGACGAGCTCTATATCTACTGTCCCTTTGTCGTCGTTCTGTTGTCGCGCTATATCTACCGTCATGTCATACCAACTAGCCCGAACCACCACACTTCTGCATTTAATGTTTCACTTTCTCTTTACGTCTCTAAAACACCTACAAATTGTTATCTTTGGTTTGTCTTGTGATATCTGATTTCTCAGGCATGTGGCCTCTGCCCAGTGTGCCTTTGTTGCCTATTTTTCTTTTATAACCTCCTTTTTTTGATCTACAAAGAAAAAATATGGATTTCAAACCAAGTTCTGTGTATGAAAGTGGGGTGTGATAGGCGTGACAGAAAAGACTAATTGAATAAGGCCACATACTGAAAGTATCACACACCTTTCTTATGTTCAAGCTGTCATTAGCGTGATTAAGTACTTCTTGATCACAAATAATCACTGAACATTATTTTTATTAGAGAGGTTTATTGCATCAGAAAATGTATCGCACCATGCCAGCCTATGCCTTCTTTCTAAATAACGAACAGTCATGGGCAGGAAACCGGTGGCACAGGAACTTTTTTAGCTGTTTAATAATGTGAGAAGGTCAGGTAAAAATTCGCTTTATACATATTGTTACGGATGTGATGGGTTTATTTACAATGAAAAATGTCAGCGCTCTACCGTCACTGCCGAATCACCATCGCTCGAGCGCGTCCGATCTCTTCTTCTTCCTCGCTCTTTCAGTCCGCGTTAGATTTCCCTCCGGGCCAGACGAAGCTCACCGAGCGAGTAGAAGCGATCGGTTGTTGTAGGGCTTCAATCGGGCAATGTGCACAATTTGCGTCTTGCGCGAACGCCGGTTCTGAGCTGTCACTCTCGCGACAGCGTAAGTGATGTCACTTAAGCACTGAGTAATGACAAACGGTCCTGAGTACTTAGAAAGAAACTTCTGGCAAAGTCCCTTTTTTCGAACAGGCGTCCACAGCCAGACCAAATCACCTGTAGCGAAAGTCACGGGCGGGTGTTTTGCGTCGTAACGGTCTTTCGCGCGAGCGTGGGCGGAAAGAGTTCGGAGCCGAGCAAGTCGACGAGCTTCTTCGGCGTGACACAAAGTCTGCGCGACACTGGCGTTTTCGTTCGTCGAAAATGGAAGTATGGTGTCAAGGAAACGTTGCGGATGACGAGCATAGAGAAGAAAGAAAGGCGTATAACCTGTGACTTCGTGTTTCGCGGTATTAAAGGCGTATGTAACAAAAGGTAATACGGCATCCCAGTTCTTGTGATCTGCTGCGACGTACATTGAAAGCATGTTGATGATGGTACGATTGGTGCGCTCAGTGAGGCCGTTGGTCTGAGGGTGGTATGGCGTGGAATGGCGATACTGACACCCACAAAGCCGTAGCAACTCTTCGACAACGTCAGCGGTAAACTGACGGCCGCGATCACTTATCACCACACGAGGGGCCCCGTGACAAAGTATGATCGAGTGTAGAAGAAACCATGACACATCAGATGATGTGGCTGAAGCAACCGCCATCGTTTCAGTATACCGCGTCAGGTAATCTACGCACACAATAATCCAGCGGCGGCCGGTGGTAGACTTGGGGAAAGGGCCCAGTAAATCTATGCCGACTTTTTCGAATGGTGATGTCGGTGGCTTAACCGGCTGCAGTGGGCCGGCCGATGGTGTGGTAGGTTGTTTGTGGCGTTGGCAGACATCACAACTTGCGACGTAGTGCTTGGTGGTCTTCCAGAGTCGAGGCCAGTAAAAACGTTGTCGGATACGGTGAAGCGTTTGGGCAAATCCAAGGTGCCCAGACGTGATGTCATCGTGCATGGCTTGGAATACCGCAAGACGCAGGCATTCTGGCATGACGAGTAGTAGTGTGGAACCATGGCTGGAGTAATTCTTGCAATATAGTAGGGTGTCATGAATCACGAATGGTGTGGCGCGTTTAGAGCTACGAGCCACATCAATCATTGGTTTCAGCGAAGGGTCACGCTGTTGTTCGTGACGAAAGATCGGGTTGTCAATAAGATTGCGGCCAGGTAGTTGTCAAAATCATCATCATCAGCATCCACAGTTGGAGATGGAAGACGAGATAAGCAGTCGGCATCTGCGTGACATCGACCGCTCTTGTAGGTCACAGAATAATTATATTCTTGAAGCCGTAAGGCCCAGCGAGCCAACCGACCAGCTGGGTCACGTAGTCCGACAAGCCAACAAAGCGAATGATGATCTGTGACGATCTTGAACTGCCGGCCGTACAAATAAGGTCTGAACTTTTGGACGGCGAAAACAACTGCAAGACATTCCAGTTCGGTGACCGTATAATTCCTCTCTGCCTTAGTCAAAGTACGACTTGCATAAGCCACGACGTGCTGCCGGCTATCGTGATATTGAACTAGCACGGCACCAACTCCGATACCACTAGCATCTGTATGCAGTTCCGTGAGTGCCTCCGGGTCAAAATGGCGCAAGAGGGGCCCGGAAGTAAGCAAATACTTCAGCTGCTCGAAAGCAGCCTCACACTCAATGGTCCATCGAAATGGAGTGTTTTTGCGGAGCAACTCTGTCAGGGGATGAGCAAGCTGGGCGAAGTCTTTGATTAACCGACGAAAATAAGAACACAGGCCCACGAAGCTACGGAGATCCTTCAAAGACGTCGGTTGCTTGAAGTCTCGGACAGCACTGATTTTGTGCGGGTCTGGTCGTATACCGTCCTTGTCAACTAGATATCCAAGCACAAGGGCTTGACGCTCACCAAAATGACACTTCTTTGCGTTTAAAACGAGACCAGCTTGTTTGACGCAGTCTAGAACAACGCTAAGCCGATGGTTGTGTTCGTGGAATGTCTTGCCAAAAATAATTACATCATCGAGATAACACATACATATCTCCCATTTGAGACCGCGAAGGGTGGAGTCCATGAATCGCTCGAAGGTAGCTGGGGCATTGCATAAGCCAAATGGCATAACGTTGAATTCAAATAAGCCATCAGGCGTGAAAAAAGCAGTCTTCTCTTTGTCAGACGGATGCATTGGTATTTGCCAGTATCCAGACCTTAGGTCGACAGACGAAAAGTTGGCGGCCGAGTGCAGACAATCAACAGCATCGTCGATGCGTGGTAGCCGATACACATCTTTCTTTGTGACGGCGTTGAGACGACGGTAGTCTACACAGAATCGCCAAGAGTTGTCTTTCTTTTTTACCAATATAACAGGAGCTGCCCAGGGACTGCTTGACTTTTGAATAACGCCTTTCTGCAGCATGTCGTTGACCTGATCGGCGATCACTTGCCTGTCTGACGGGGATACGCGATAGGGTTTCTGGGGTATCGGTGTAGCATCTCCCGTGTTGATGCGGTGGTGCATACGGGATTCGGGCAACATG